AAGAAAATTGTTACTAACAAATTGGATCAAATTATAGTCGGAAAAAGAATAATTATGATATTTTTTGTTAAAACGGTAATTAAATACAAATAAACCTTAACATACCGTTCTAATAATTTAAAAATACCGTCATTAGCTTTTTAAGTGATGCCAAGCTATCAAAAGGACTCATATTTCATTCAAATTCAATTAGAATTTATTAAACATATTTATTATAGCTTTATGATATAGTAGTCTACAGTTACATATAAAAAATCAATATTTCAATAATATATTTAGCGGAACATAAAATGAGTACTCAGGAATGGCAACGCATGGGGGGTATCATGAGCGAAACATTATACTCTGTAATGTCCATGGTACTGGTCATATGTATAGGCGACGATTACCGCTTTCCTTCAGGTGGGCCGTCAGCTTGTTTGCCATTCTAAGTTGTATAAAAAAAAATGCTTTTTAATAATTACAATAAGTAAAAATTCATCCTCAGTGCAAATCAAAGCAAAATATATCTTATGAAATTTTGTATTAATTTAGTCCTTTTTACTTTTACTTTATTGAATGTGGCGCTTATTAGTATCTTTAAATAGCTTCCAACTATCATTATTTAATACTTAATCTTACTTATTATTTATACTTATATTTAATACCTAATTTTACTTATTACACACTGTACTTTCTTCATTCTTATATACATCTTTTACTTATATATATTTGAGATTTTTTTACATCTATTTTTATTTTTTCTAAAGGAATCTGTTTGTAACGGTTTTGTCACATTTGCGAGATTGTTTCGAGGTGTGGCAACCTGCTATTGCTATAAAACCTGAGGCTGTCCACTTCTCGGCTGATGCAATAGGGTGAGTGGGTTGCGCGATTCTTGTTTATCCTTAGTGACTTTGTAAGTTACCAAACGAGATAAAATCGAAAGCACTGGGGCAAAAAAATCGAACATAACGAAATCAAAATGTGGGTTAACGGTTATGGCGGCTTTTTTGTATATTTTAATGTGTAAGAGGTTTTTATCTGATGCCAAACACAAATCAAATCTTGTTCATCTAAGTAATAAATAAATCCATTTTCATCATTTTGTCTTTGCCTTTTGAGAGTCTATACTACGTTAAACAGTATTATTCTAATATAGTAATTGTTATTTTCTAGGATGAGACAACAATCGTTTAAATGTATCTGATGCAGTTTCAAATAGCTACACGCGTAAATTTTCGATGCCTTCCGATGGTCGCGGATTCTATCGCTGTACAAAATAATATATATACATAGGGGAAAAGGGTTTTTTAGTAATGTGGACTATCAGTCCCATTGGTAGCAATATACCCTATCAGGTCGACCTCCACGTGGTCCCTCCTGGAAACTATCGTGCTGAATTCCAAGTGTATTCATCATAATGGGCTAACTGACTTGCCCTTTCATTCTCACTTAGCATCCCTCATTGATGCACCGCCAGCTTATACCGTTAGCGCAGAGAGGGTTGCCATTCTATTATCATACATTAAAAATAAATATATACGTCTGTTTGTATAAATCTGGCTGTTTCTGTATATAACAGGTACTTATATGTATCTATTCATTGTATACTATTCATAGTACAAGCAGAGTTTGGGACTAGATGGCGCTGTGTAACATGTCTATGATAATATATTTTTAATTAAAATCTAATGTAGGTATAATAAATACCCATTAAAAATATATTTATTAAATGAATCACTGAAGATACAAAAGATAGAAGTGTGAACTATTGACCCTATACAAAATATTAAATTAAAAATTCAGTCCAGCCCACTGATATCTAAACCAGAAGTTATTAATTCTATATTAGACTGCAGACACGATAATATATAAAACAAAAACGTTTTAATACTTTGAAAATAGCCAATAATTCATAATTAAATTCTTTTTTAATATTTATTAATAAATTCCTATTTCTATTAATTTATTTCAAACCGCTGGTCACTCTGATCAAATCTTGCAATCTACTTATACACAAATAACGTACAAGGACATAACTATCCAGATATAACTGGTTACGCTTTGTATTACATTAATTTGTATCTAGTTTTACTACCATATTGACATCTATAAGAACATTTATATTAATTAAATTCATATACGAAAAAAGATATTTTAGAATAATGTAAATTAAATTTATAGACAACTTCTATAGAAGGAATAGATTTCTACATATAAAGTGTAAGATGTATAGCTACAATGCGATCAAAATATGAAACACCTATAATATGACCGTCAATGTGTAATATAAACATTGTCAAGAGCTTCATACGTCGTAAATTTATAACCATAATAAAGTATTTGATCCTTTACTGACGTACACGATAAAAGCAAATTGTTCAATATCAAATAGTACCGTCATTGTATGTGTTTGTCTGCTTTAATAGAACTCCATGAAAATACACACAAACGAATTATTGAGATAACTATAAGATACTGTGTTGATGTCCAATGGTAGTAGAAAACAAAAGTCGATTTATTGATTAAATGTCACGATTTGTTACTAACTTCATATCAAATGTATTTTAATAATAATTACAATAAAAAGTTACTTTTTCATTATGTTTTATTGAAACATACTACAATAAATAGTGCGACGGTGGTGCGCTCTATAACTTACACGTAACTACAATTCAAACTCTTACTTCACCTAACTAGTTTCATAATAAAAAAAAATCTATGTAAAGTCTTCTTACTTAATATAATTTAAACATAAATGAAGTAAAAAAATACGGTTATTTTAAATTTCTATTATTATTGTATACAACTAACTGCAAGAAAAATGAAACCTGTTTTTATGCAATAATCACGACACGACAGAAATATACCGGTCGGTACGATCCACGTTTCACTCGTTATTGGATGGTCACCCTATGAAATGGCTCAAGTCGACAAGGTGTGGCTGGATTAAACTAACGGATAAGAGTAAACCCTATATTTAGTAACTTTAAAGTTCACATTCAAGGTTACATTATCTCTTTGAAGGTGCTAAGGATATTTTTATCGTTTCCGGTCTGACTGGCTGATTTCGATCTTTTATTAGGCAAGTACATTATATATACATTTTATAATGGCAACAAATATGAGAGAAAAGGATTGTTAGTAATGGAGACTGAGAATCCCATTGCTAGCAATATACCCAACCAGGTCGACATTCTCGCGGTTCTCCCTGGAAACTATCATGGTTAATTCCTGATGAATTCATCATGATGGGCTAACTGGCCTGTTTTCATTCTCACCTATCACCCTTCACTGGTGCTCCGCCAGCGTATCCCGTTAGCGCAGGCGGGGTTACAATACCACTTTCACCCATCAAAAAAAAATGGCAACAAATAACCCCAAACGATCGTGTTCGTTCTACAGCAAGTGTATGAGATCATTGTCATCAAGCGCAGTTTCTTTTTTTTTTTATATACAATGGAAGCAATCAGACATACAGTCCACCTGACGAAAAACGGTTACCATAGACTATAGACCGCTGCAAAAGCGGAGATATCGTGCGTTGAAACTTTTCAACGACCTTTTCAAAACAATTGTATTAATTTATTAGATTAATTTGTTGTATGTATTATAATAATTGCATGCTGTGGTTTTTTTAATAAGGTCTCCGTAAGAAGATCATTCCACAACCTCAGCCGTGGACGAGTGCTAATCTTAACCCTTAAAAGCCTGATTTTTTAAATCAAATTAAAAATATATAAGTGTATCCTTTACTGTGTTTACTAATGGGAAAAAATAAAAATAAATCGAAACGATATTTATATATATTTATTTTGAAAAAAAAAAAACATTTGGTAAAATGTAAACAGCCAAATATTAAAATAAAATCGATTGTAGGCGCCCAATGCGATTTATAACCCCGGTATCAAATTTGAAACTTCAGGTATTTAAGGGTTAAATAACGATAGATACGTTATGTGTACCGCGTACACATGATATGTAGAACGAATCCGCTACGTCTAAAGTTCTGTTCTGTTCAGAGCAAAGACAGAGCAGAAAGGATTTTTTTTTTTTATAAGTTAATGGTACCGAGGTAAGACCCCATGTCCCCGCGCGATTTTATATGGGTGTCATGGTGTCTGTCATATTCTTTGCTAGTGCTCTCGTTGAGGCAAACACTAAGTATTAAGAGAACAATGTAAAGAGAAGCAGAGACGACCGAACTGCTACTTCAGTAAGTTAAGAGTACTGCTCATGTCTTTAGGCGACAGTTACCATTTTCCATCAGGTGGGCCGTCAGCTTGTTTGCCATTCTAAGTTGTATAAAAAAAAAAGTACATTGCTAGGTTTGCTCTCCATTACTAGCAATCTCCTCCTCCCAAGTTTTGATGGTAGCTTGGTATTATAACTACATGTGAGGATGGCATCCTCTGGCGTCAAGTTCTAAGGTTCGTTACCTTAGTCTGACGCCCAGTGTGTAGCCTCTTCATCATTCGGATGGATACTCGTTAAAAAGGTACTTTTTTAAATGCATGATAATGGAGTGATTACACCACCTGTGATATCGATACACGTTGGAGAAATACACCAGTGAGGGATGGACGAATTTATCAAAAATTAACCACTATGGTTTCCAGAGGAAACCCCGTGGAATCAACCTAGTATATTGCTAGCAGTGGGGCCGCTAGTCCCAATTACTAACATTCCTTCCTCCCTTTTTTCATGCGATTTAGAATGGCAAACAAGTTGTGGGCCACATGATGGAAAGTGGTAACTGTCGCCTATAGACATGAGCAGTATTATGGATATAACAGAGTATACTTTTTCGCCCACGATACCTCCCATACGTTGCCATTCCTGAGGACTCAGGTGTTATTCCTGTGTACCCTGTAAATTCACTGCCATATCCCACCCTTCAAACAGAAACACAGCCATGCAAACACAACTGCTGCACAGTAGAAACACGAAAAAAAAAATGAGACAGAGGTACCCAAGAAAACGGCTTTTGTACAAAGTTCTACTAATAAGGTACTTACATGTTTAATGTTATAATGCAGGATGCTCTCAATGTAGGTGGGCAACTGGTTGACGACGGTGAAGTAGCCGAAGACCGAGGTGGCGTGCGTAAGGATGATGGCCCACACCGGTGGCGAGGTCAGCAGGCTGCGCCATGGTACCGGCATATGCTGCGGACAATGACAACATTATATTTCTATTTTTAAAAGAACAAACAATGCGACTGTATTTAAAGCAACTTGCATAAATAAAGAAGAACTGATTAAGAAAAAAAAAACCAATATTTTTTCTCGTTTTCACATTAACAATTATAATTACTTGAACACATGTGTTACATATACATGTGTTGTGTGTAAAAATAATTTCATATAGGATAAATATATATGAATAATATTACAATATGTGTATTACATAAATGTATGTTATGTATTTTATATATATTTATTTATGTAACATATTATAAATACTTAGATGTAAGGCGTGCATAATAATATTTACATGTTTTATTAATATAAGCCTTTTTCTTATTTTCATTAGTTACACTTCTAGTCCCAAATAGCTACCTTTTTTTTTTATTTTCATCTCTACCCAAAAAAGGGTTCTTTAAAAGGGTGTAAAGAGGTTACTTCAGGGTCGGCAAAGCGTGTGTAAGAACCCTTGTATTGCAGACGTTCATAGGCTACGATGACCATTTACCAACAGGTGGGCCGTATGCTTGTTTACCACCTAAATAAAAAATGTTGTCTGGAAGAAGAGTTTGCTTTAGCGATAAGACCGCCTTTTGTACTTCATATGTGTCATATGTACTTATCTTTGTATTATTTTTCAAGTGGTGCAATAAAGAGGAAATAAATATTGTTTGCGGAATGCCTGTTTAATGCATAGTTAATTTCATCTAGCTATATCTGGCGGCTTTGCCCGCATCAATCACTGCATAAAATATCCTATGTACTATGTTAGGATATAACCTATCCGTGTACTAAATTTCATTTAAATGCGTTCAGTAGTTTTTGCGTGAATGAGTAAACATCCATCGTTATAAACTTTCGCTTTACTTTTGTTTTGTTTTTTTTTTTTTTGCAAATGTATTTTTTATTTCTTTTTTTCAAGTATGTACTAATTTCTGATATTATTTGTATGCCATATATATATATATATATATATTAATTATATTAATAAGTGTATATTTAAATACACCTGCTGGTTCTGTAACCGCGGAAACACATATGATATAGCACCAGATTATAATTATGCATTTGCCGGAAGTCAGTAAAGAACATAATAGAATGTGAGTTTGCCGCGAGAACTTATGCAAATGTGATTAGTCATTCATTCGTCTCGCACACTTTGTTATATAGCGAATTACTATTGAGCCGGTTACACATGGATGAATTGTACAAACGATAACTTTTGGCCGCGACTTCGCTCGTGTGACCGATGTATGTTCAGTACTGGCCGGTGGTAGGGTGTGCCCTTCTCCATCCCTTATAGTACGTGTGTATCATATTTCATAGTGATCGGTTAAGCCGTTAAGGCACTACGAGGTAACAAAAAACAAACTTTTACTTTTATAATATTAGTAAAAATTAATTTTAATCAGATATTAATAACAACAATTTTTTTATTACAAAAATAATTAACGTTCTTTTAAGAATTATTAACTATAAAAAATAATAGAGAAACGAAAAAAATCATACGTTCAAAAATAATATTATAAAAATAGCATACAGCCCACCTGATGGTAAACGGTTATCGTGGCCTATGAATACCTGCCAAACCATACCATAACACAACACGCACATTGCCGACCCTGAAGAAATCTATTTACCTCTCTTTTAAAGAACCCCATGCAAATTATTATTATTTTTAAGCCAATGCTTCTTTAGGGAAAATATTTAAATTTATTGATATCAAATTCTTGTCGAATTCGTCACGATGTACTGACTGACCTACTTCATCCTCACCTATCATCCTTCACTGGTGCCCCGCCGGTGTATACCGATAGCGCGGGTGGGGTTACCATTCCATTATCATCCATTAAAAAGTCTATGGGAGAGGCCTATATCCAGTAGTGGACGGATAATGGCTGAAGCGATGATGATGATGATAAAATATGCTTTAAAAAATATTATATATTTTTATTTCCATTATAACTTACAGTTTATTATATTTACACTAGTTTACACTACATCAAGTGTGTAGTGGCTGTATTATTTGCAAATTACATTGATATCTATCGCGTATGGTGTAGGTGAGTCATTTAATTTAATCGTTTCCACTAAAACATAATCGCATTAGGTGCGTGTATTGTTTTACAGCAAATTTAATATCATTGTTTCAGTCTAAATGGATTATATGTTGCCTCACTCAATACACAGACTACATATTACATCTACATTTTTAACCAACTTCAAAAACAACGAGGTTCTCAATTAGATTTTTTTTTAATGTTTATTACCTCATAACTCCATCAGTTGTAAAACAATTTGGAAAGTTCCTTTTTTATCTGAAAGGACATGTTCACAGATAGGTTTCGTAGACATTTTATCAAAATCTTTTCAGTATTTTAATTTTTAAATCAATATAACTTGGTTTTACCATAATTGAAGTCGGTTTTTTTTTTAGAACACAACCATAATTATAAATATTGATATATTGATAAATAACGTTTATATTAAGCTTGAAGAAGCAAGTTTTGCTTTAATAAAAAGTGACTTTAATCGTACACACGTGTAGAATATTACGTGAATATTATATGTGTATGATAATATAAAAAGAGAAAGAAAGAAAATATTTATTTAACGCATACCAATAACATTTACAACAGAAACATAAACAATTGTCAAATTAAATAAAAAAAAATAACTAAAATAAACTTATAATTAGGAATATATGCGACCAAAATGGTCACCACTCAGCTAAGTGTCTAAGCATTCATACATAATGGCTCAATCAATCAAGCCATCTCATCCCTCAAACGAGGGATGTAATTAAAAGGGTTTTATAATAAATAAAAATTTAATAGCTCAGCATGGTTTTCTGTGGAACAAATGGGAGTGGTAGATGTCGGTACCGAGTGGACATATTCACATATCGTCATAGTCGTAGAATACTGACGGATCTGACGAATATTACATATAAAGATCCGTCAGTATTCTACGACTATGACGATATATTAATTATAATTTTAATAATCGTAATTTTTGTGTCGTGATACTATTCTGTTTAACACTACTACTGCCTACTCACTGCTTCCTATGCCACTGTGCTTTTGATGGGTGAAAATGGTATAGTAGCCCCGTCTGCGCTGACGGGATACGCTGGCGGAGCACCAGTGAAGGGTGATAGATGAGAATGAAATCAGGCCAGTTAGCCCATTATGATGAATTCATCAGAAATTAACCATGATAGTTTCCAGGGGGAACCGCGGGGAAGTCGACCTGGTTGGGTATATTGCTAGCAATGGAATTCTCAGTCTCCATTACTAACAATCCATTTCCCCCCATGCCACTGTGTTAGGTTAGGTTAGGTTTTTGCTAACATTGTTATTAACTTCTTGTTATTACTATATTGTTAATCATTTAACCATCCAATCAGCATCTAAAACACATTTGGGCACAAACGTTTATTTCGCTGTATCCTTATTAGGATCAGTGTAAATTTTGCTCGTTACTTAGATGGAAATCTACTCGTAAATATATACACTGATATATTACTTTGTTAAATATTTGTGTTACCATCCTTCTTATGGCCAACTTTTTGTATGCAAAACATTAGATCTGATTCTGGCGAAGCGGCGATTCTTTATAGTTAGTTCTTGGAATCACAGATATATCACACTACGCTAAGTTTAATCACAGATGTCACAAGCTGCCTTCGACTGTTGAGAATGCTCAGGTAAATCACGCAAAAATAAATGTAATTGGCATATAGTTTTTTTATCTAAATGTTTTTCATTTTTCTCTTTAATGAGGCGTTACATAAAATAAAAATATTTCAGAGTATTCCGTATCTACATATTTCTTAAAATAATTTACAATTTTAGACAAGGTCAGACATTGCAGAATAGAATAGAATAGAGGCCAATTTAATAACTAAATGGTTGTCCTAAAAATTAAAACATGACGTGTGCCAAATTTTATCTGAGCATTTATCCATATATCCGTGACTACAAAACTAAAAAAAAAAAAACAAGAATCTATGAATATATCTACAGAATGCCATATGGCATTAAGCTCGCCATTTGTACAAAATTTTATTGTGCAATAAAGAATAAATAAATAAATAAATAAATAAATAAATAAATAAATAAATAAATAAATAAATCTGGAAACGATCGTGAACAATTCTTATTGAATTCGTCACGATGTGCTAACTGACCTGCTTCATCCTCATCTATCATCCCTCACTGGTGCCCCGTCGGTGTATACCAATAGCGCGGGTGGGGTTACCATTCCATTATCACCCATTAAAAAAAAATATTGTAAAAACTAATAAAAAAAAAATTTAGACAAAACTTTCCAATTGTCAAATCTAGCGTGCGTACAGACGCCGTTTGTTTACTATTTCATTATATTATATTCAGCAGATTTTCCGCTGCGTGCGCTAAACAAATTGACGTAACTACGATGATGTCATCATGATAGTGCCACAGTGCGCCGACCGAGTGGACCGCGAATGATGGATATAGATTGATTGTAGCAACTATATCAATAATGTGTACTGACATTGTCTCAGGTGTTGCTAGAGGAAATTTTTGTGTTTATATGACCTTTGTAGGTATTAAGTAAGGTACTATAGATACTAGCCCTTACTTGCATCATCATCATCATCATCACTATTCAACCATTACCATCATCATATTATCCTCTGTTGAACATAGATCTTCCCATAGACTGTCATAAGAAACGGTCCTGAGCCACCTGCATCTACTGACTGCAATGTATTCAGTAGATGCAGGTGGTATTTGTACGTCGCTCCATCTAACGGGGGGAGGTGGGTGGCGTCCTACACTGCGTTCGTCCTACACTGCGTTTTTTTTTTAATTTTTGAAATCTCGACTAGTTTCGGAACCAATTCGGGGCCCTTAATCATGAGCAGCAATGTGTTTGGATCTGAAATTACACAAATTGATTGAGGTTTTAGTAGTTGTCTACCTGAAGGCCAAAATTAAAAAAAAAAATATTTTACCCTTATTTATAAAAACTAAAACCTACTACAAACTTATTTTAAATATTAAACTAATTTGTCACTTTCTTTTAAATTAGGAATGTAGCATAAAAGAAAGAGACAAGACACTTAAATAGGTCCACCTTAACTACTGTTTATTCTATAGCCTTATTCTATCTAAGAACGTGTAACATTAAACTATAAAATACATAATAGATTACGGACTCCTACCATCATATAAACTAAAAACATTTAGAAACCTATTTTAAGTATAACCACTTCGTTACTTTGTGTGAATTTATCAATTTCTTTGTCATTTTCAATATATACGAGTACCTAAGTATAATAAAAAACTTTTTTTTTATTAGAATATACTAACATTTAAGATTTTTTTCTGTCTAATTCATAGAAGCAATGCTACTTAGTAGCATTAAATAGTATAGTATAGTAGTATTTAGTAAAGCACAGTTAGTAGTAAGTTATAATTAAATTTGTTTCCACAAAAAAAAACCGACTTCAACTGTGGCTAAAACAGTTATTTTAATTTAAAAACCAAACTACTAAGCCAGTTTTGATAAGATTTCTATGGTACTAAACTTATTAGTATATCCTTTCAGATAAAAAAAATTCTAGTTTCGTTTACAAACTGACAGACTTATGAGGTAATACATAATTAAATATAAGCAAACTGAAAGTCTCTTCTTTTTCTAATCTATTCTTTTTGTAGTCCATTGAGAATGTATTAAAGTGACAAACAGTTTATTGGAAACGATAGTTAACTACAGTGTTTTTCTATACAACTTAAAATGGCAAACAAGCTGACGGCCCACCTGATGGAAAGTGGTAACCGTCACCTATAGACATGAGCAGTACCATGAACAGAACAGAGTATACTGTTTCGCCCATGATACCCCCCATGCGTTGCCATTCCTGAGGACTCAGGTGTTATTCCTCTGTACCCTGTAAATTCACGCCATATCCCACCCTTCAAACCGCAACACAGCCATGCAAACACAACTGCTTCACGGTAGAAACACGACTGAGGTACCCAAGCAATCGACTTTTGTACAAAGTCTCCCTCTAGTGTGTTAACTACAATATTTACAAGCGTCTATCAGAGATGTTAAATGTTTGTTAACTACTAACTAACGGTCAACATAACGAGAGTCGTGACCACAAAGTAGACACCACGGTACGATAAATACATAGCCGTATCATAATATTACTAAGAAGGAAGGAAGCAACGACTGTAATAAATTATTATGCACAATCACCGCATATCCTTATATCATAATCACAACTCACATATGTCTAGCTATTACATAGAGACAAGGTTTTTTTTTTAATGGTTAATATTTATTTATGTATTTATGTACACTTTATTGCACCATTTATAAAATAGTAAACACATTTTACTGTAATAAGAAATGATACAAAAGGCGGCCTTATCGCTAAGCAATCTCTTCCAGACAACCTTTGGGTAGAGAACATTGAGAAGAGAAAGAATAATGGAATGGTAACCCCGTCTGTGCTAACGGTATACGCTCTCGGGGCATCAGTAAAGGATAATAGGTGAGAATGAAAAGGTGGTTTTTTTTTTTAATGTGTGATAATGAGGGGGAAAAGATTGCTAGTAATGGGGATTAACAACCCTATTACTAGCAATATACCTTATCAGGTCGACCTCCTCGCGGTTCCCCCTGGAAAATACGGTGGTTAATTCTAGTTGAATTCGTCACGATGGGCTGACTGACCTGCTCCATCCTCACCAGTCATCCCTCACTGGTGCCCCGCCAGTGTATACCAATAGCGCAGGAGGGGTTACCATTCCATAATCATCCATTAAAAAAATAAATGGGTGATAATGAAAAGGCAGGTCTTTTTTTTAATGGGTGATAATGGAATGGTAATCTCGCCTGCGCTATTGGTATATGCTGGCGGAGCGTCAGTGAGGGATGATTAGGTGACGATTAAAGCAGGTCAGTTAGCCCATCGTGACAAATTCCACTAGAATTAACCACGACAGTTTCCAGGGGGAACCGCGTGGAGGTCGACCGATAAGGTATATTGCTAACAATGGGTCAATTAGACCCCATTACTAACAATCCCTTTCCACCTGAAAAGGCAGGTCAATTAGCCCATCGTGATGAATACACCTGGAATTCAACACGAGAGTTTACAGGGGGTACACGTGTAGGTCGACCTGACAGGGTCGACATATTGTTAGCAATGCGGCTAGTAATCCGCATTACTAACACTCCCCTCCCCCAATCCAAACAGTGTTGTCACACAAAGTACATAATGATTTTAGATTAAATGTTGACACATAATCTACACACACTACACTACACTCTGTTTATATATATATATATATATATATATATATATATATATATATATATATATATATATATATATATATATATATATATATATATATTATAAAATTATTATGTCGCACAAGTTCTCATGTAGAAGAACTCAAATCTTGTGATCGCTGTACTGTGAAAACCTAGTAAATTTTGCAAATGAGTTTAAATTGTGTATCACAAAAAAACCGTCTTTAATAGCGGTTATTTTCATTTTAAAACTTATCTGCTGAAGCAATTTTCATAAAATTTCTATGGGGCCAATCTGGAAATAAGCCATAATCAAGACACACCGATCAAGAGACGCATTGAAACCGATGAATTTAAAATCTTGAAATGTAGATATGTTCTTTATGTAGCGTAGGTAAATAATAAGAAAAGAATTATGAAAATTGAATCCCTAAAGGTGTGTTACTTCAATAATCCACGAGTACGAAGTCGCGGGCAAAAGGTAGTTTTAATTAAACAGATGGAATCTAAACCGATAATATCAGACATTATTAAAACATTAGCAAAAAATATACATACATTAGAACCTAGATGTTCACATACAGCGCGGTTTCAGAGATGTTTTCTCCCACGAACGCTCACATTATGGAATGAGCTCCCTGTCAAAGTTTTTCCAAGAGACTATAGCATGGTGTTCTTTAAAAAAAGGGGGATAAAGAGTTTTCTTCAAGGTTGGCAACGCGCGCGTAACACCTCTAGTATTGCAGGCGTTCATAGGCTATACTGTACCCGCTTACCATCAGGGGGACGATATGCTTGATTGCCTCCACAATGGTCCTCAAAAAAACTTCTGGTTTTTAAAATGATAGATATAAATATAAGTACTCACCCCCTTCTTCTTTGTGTTGTCCTGCGGCAGGACTTCCATGAGGTAGTTCTTCTCCTCCTCCGAGATCCGGGGATGGTCGGCTGGCGTGTCGTAGACCACTGCGAACCAGGCCACCGACCACATGGCGCCGATGAGGCCTGTATACACCACAACGGTAGTGTTAAAACACCCTCATAAAAGAAATGTTATAGTTATAATACTTGTCTGTGTATCTGTCTGTGGTATCGTATCTCGGAAACAAGTCGAATTCAATACATTTTGTGTGATTGAAAACGGAATGATTTAGCGACGATTTACTAAAATTGGTTCAGTTTCCATATGGAAAGAAATTGATAAACTTAGTTTGATATTTTTTATAAAAAAAAAAAAATAATTTTAACATAATTACATGTTATTTTTTATTAACTGCACTGAGCTGAATATATTTATTTACTTTACTGATATAAATACAAATAAAACAAGAATTTTACGTCACATCAGTCTCCCATACATTTTACAACGAAATGTACAAAAAATTACAAGTAAACGGCCAAACAATATATGTATTGCATCAAATATTCAATTCTCTGAAACTTTATCTGTACATACATATAAACATATCTGTCATCCCGTCTCCCATTAGGGTAAATAGAAACAACAGAATGCCAAATGATTCGATTCAAACGAGCTTCTTTATATTCCTATATGTTCATAAAAATCTTGACTTATTTCCAAAAAACAGCAATATTCATAATATTAATACTAGATTTAAAGACAAACTTGCTGTCCCCAAGTATCGTTTAGAAAAAGTTAATAGGTCTTTTATGGGAATAGGTATAAAAATTTACAATAAGATACCAAAGGATATGTTGGAATTACCCTTAAATAAATTCAAAACATCTGTTAAATCATATTTACTGAGCAAAGCCTATTACTCACTAAACGATTACTTGAATGACGAGTGTGCATGGCAATAGTTGTTCATGCACTGAATTTTCATTTAATGTTAGACATAGACACCTATATAAATATACATTGTAAATAAACTGGCTTTAAAATAAAAAGTAATTCAATTGAGTTTCTTGCCAGTTCTTCTCAATTGGATCTATATTCCAAACTGGACGGTAGGGAAAAAAATAAAATTATAATGTAAAAATTTGACGTTCATAAGCGGCTAAAATGTCCTACATGAATAAATGATTTTTGAATTTTGAATTTTGAATTTTCCCTTCCTCCACATTCATCAATATTTTCCATACACACTCGCCGGTTACGGATACTTTTAATTTGGCCCTTCTTCAGCACGTCGCCTATTTGGTCGACATACGTCCGTCTAGGGTGACCCCTACTGACATCTCCGTTCATTCGTGTTCGAATTCTTCTTTCATACAACCTCTCCAAATGGTCAAACCAACGCAGCATTATTCCCTTTTCGATTTTTGTCACAGTCCACACTTCTCTCTAATCCCACTGTTTCTCACTCTATCTTTTATCTGTGTAAGTCAATGTAAATATTTCAAACTTATAACATACCATGTCGAAGCCACTTGTACGTTTACGTAAACCGTGATAATTACCAGTGAAGTAGAAAGCCGACTCCCATCCGAAGTGCGCGATGAGGAAACCACAGATCGGCATCGTAATGGCAGCACCAAGCGACGAGGCTGCAACACAAGCCGATGTTAGTGAGCGTAAGTGACAGCTACCGGGGCTCCCGCAATGAGAGTTAAACCGCAATAACAAATTATCATAATATAATGTAAATTTGACTCCTTTTCAACCGACTTAAAAACAGAGGCTCTCAACTATGTGTATTTTGTTTGTTTGTTATCTCTTATTACTCTATCAGTTCTAAAGTGATTTGGAAAATTCTTTTTTTATATGAAAGGTAATACTTACAAATTGATCCTATTGTAATTTTAGTTTTTAAATCAAAACTGGTTTTATCACAATTAAAGTGTTTTTTTTTTGTAAGTAGACTCTATAATCATAATATACATATACTAATTTTGAACTGCGACGTTGCATGACCGAAATATATCTAACTGTCCACTGCTGGACATGGGCCTCCATAAGGGGGTATTTTGCCAGTAATTACCACGCCCATCCCAACCATTAATTTCCCTTAGTCACCTCTTACGACACCAATGGGAAAGGAAGGGGTTACCCCTTCTATAGCAGGACCACACGACATAATATAATGATATATTATTATATATATCATTATATTATGTCGTGTGGTATATATATTTCTCAGCAATAACTTTGAAAATACATGATTGAAGAGACCAACAGACATGCAGATACTTCGTTTTGTAGCTACGGGACCCTAATGAAAAAAGTCTATCAATCTTGTCAATTCGTTAACAAGCATAATACAACGGTAACGCTGCATCCATTATCCGACCCCATATATTATTAAACGATTCATTTAATGTGAATACAGCTTTTTTTTATACAACTTAGAATGGCAAACAAGCTGACGGCCCACCCGATGGAAAGTCGTAACCGTCGCCTATAGACATGAGCAGTAGTACCATGGACATAACAGAGTATACTGTTTCGCCCATGATAACCCCCATGCGTTGCCATTCCTGAGGACTCAGGTGTTATTCCTCTGTACCCAGTAAATTCACACCATATCCCATATCATTATCATAAATATGAAAGTATCGAATATAAATCGAAAATAAATTATTGTTCAGTGTATATCAATTGGATACCGTATCTTTAATATACAATAACACTATGTAACACTAAATAGATACCAATAACAGAGTTTGTTTTGATCATGAACTTGGCACCTGTTACATTATTTAGATAGCAAACGTTGCCAAAATTAGTTGAAAATAATATATACGTAATACACATACCAATTATACATATGTATATAATGTAAGAGATACCTCTATGAGGTAAGTCCGTCATTGTATATTAAATCTTTTAATATGGCCAATGTAATTTATGTACAATTTATAATACAATATAAGCCCCGTTGTTAGCAATATACCCTATTTTTTTTTAGTGGGTGATGATGAAATGATAACTCCGCCTGCGCTAACGGTATATAATGGCGGGGCACCATTGAGCGATGATAGGTGAGGATGAAAAAACAGGTCAGTTAGCTCATCGTGGTGAATACACTTGGAATTCAGCACGATGGTTTCCAGCGGGGACCACGTGGAGGTCGACCTGGTTACATTACTAACAATGGAGCCCTTAGTCTCCATTATTAACAATCCCCCCCCCGCAATATACCCTATTAGATCGACCACGATGTGGTTCCCCCTAAAAACCATCGTGGGTAATTCTTGTCGAATTTATCGCGATGGTCCAACTCACCTGCTCTCGTCCTAACCTATCATCCCTTACTGGTAACCTTCCAGCGTACACATGTTAGTCAATCATGCACAAGCTTATTAATGACTATGTATTTTTTTTATTGGATGAAAGTGGAATGGTAACCCCGCCTGCGCTAACAGGAAACGCTGGCGGGGCACCAGTGAATGGTGGAGTGAATAGTCGATGAGGATGAAAACAGGCCAGTTAGCCCATCATGATGAATTCATCTGGAATTAATCATGATAGTTTCCAGGGGGAGCCGCGAGGAGATCGATCTGGTTGGATATATTGCTAGCAATGGAATTCTCAGTCTCCATTACTAACAAATCCCTTTCCCCCCAATGACCATGTATTAAACTCTTTATTGCACCAAAAACATAAAAACATATAACGAAAAATTACAAAATTCAAATAAAATGCAGTATATAATATAAAGCATAAAGTACCAATCAAAATATAAATATATATAGGTACAAAAGGCAGTCTTATCGCTAGGACAATATCTTAAAGTTAATAAATAATATTAACAAAGATTTAAAAGAGTAACTGTCGAGTTTTTGTAGAATTAAGAGTGATTGTGTCACGAAATGGAGAAACCACTTTGAAAACTGTTCAGGTTCAAAGGGGATATGGTATAAAACTATACAGCAAATGCCTTCATTAATACCCTGGTTTCAAACAACAAGTCTTTCAAGATCGTATTTAGTGATAGCGTTCAGGATGCGATCTGGCCATGTTCCCCTCAACAAATTTTATCATCTTATAGGAATGAAACAATCACCAAATTGTATATATTGTGATAAAGTGGAAGACCTCCTACATTTGCTGGTGGAGTGTGGCCAGAATTGTAACTTGAAACAGCGGATTCTGGGCGATATGCCATTATATAATGGTAATGTCAATTTAATACTGAGTCAACCTGGCAGTCGCAATGCAAGACGGCTATATCTGTGGGTAAAGGTGTCCCAGACGGACTGACAGACTGAATTTCAAACAATCCCTATGAGGCTAGCATAGTCACTCCGGTGTTAGAACAGCCTCAACAAAAATTTGAATAAAAAAAAAAATAAAAGGTTCCTCTCAACAGATAAAAAATAAATTCATAAAAAATTACAATTAAAAATGAATCTATTTAAATAATGATTTGTTTTTGAGAATTTTATGAAATACCCATCGTATTGTTTATAAAAAACAAGACTAGTTGTCTGATGTTATGTTGTATACATTGTGATAATAGAATTGATGGGGCTGCAAAGCTGGCTTCCTAGGAAAGTTACCGCTATGTTTCAGGTCAATGCATTTGATTCTCGTAGCTGTGACGCAAACAACACTGTAGGGTTGCCCTCGTGAATGGTGATACGTATTATTGTATTATTGTCTCTGAGGGCCTACCATGAAATGTTTTTCGAAATATCGAAGCCAAACGAAAAACTAATTTGATGTATGTATGTATATGTATTTGTATATGTGTGTGTATGTATATATATTACATGTGTGTATGTATGAATGTATGTTTGTGTATGTATATATATATATATATATATATATATATATATATATAATTTAGTAGGGATAATATATTTATAATATTATATGTATCACATCTCCCATATTTAGAACTAACAGAATTTTTCATCGTGCCTCCCACCAAATTGTCTATAATTACTCCTCTCCATCCAAAGGTTGCATGGAAGAGATCGCTCTTAGCAATAAGATCACCCATTGTTTTCTCATTGTGATTATTTCTTGTAATTATTTATATTTATAATAAGTTTACTATTGTAATCTTTTGGAGGAAACAATAAAGAGTATCTATCTATCTAATACATGCAGTTTGGAGATATTAAAAATGTTAAAATATCGTTCCTTTGGACTTTTATGATAGGAATGTTAAACTCCATTTATTGGTCCGATTTTGGCATAAACAAAAACACGAATTTGAGTCCGAAAATTCGGAATTTCATTTCATGGTAGACCCGCTGGTTCTGTCTTTATTACAACATATCCGCGGACGAAGTCGCAGGTGAAACCAATATTTATAAAATAACGAATCGCGCATGTGTAACCGAAAGGCTCAAGGGGAAGGGATCGTTAGTAATGCGGGCTACCAGTCCCATTGCTAGCAATATACCCTGTCAGGTCGACCTCCACGCGGTTCCCCCTTGAAACCATCGTGCTGAGTTCCGTGTGTATTCATCACGATGGGCTGACTGACCTGCCTTTTTTCATTATTCACCTATCATCCCTCACTGGTGCCCCGCCAGCGTATACCGATAGCGCAGGCGGGGTTACCATTCCATTAATCATCCATTAGAAAAAAAAAAACCAAAAGACTCATAATAACTGTAGGAGGATATTTAACTAGTTTACGACTACGTTTACCCATAAAATAGTTATATAATTGTACTAGACATAGTTATATTCTATGCATTATAGCATTGTGCGGATGACAGCAATTTTTTTTTTTTTACTGTAAAGAAACTATATTGAGATCTTTGATGTGGCAATTAATATAACAATTATAATTGTTACTTTTTAATATCAAATTATTTTTGTATACCTAAGTTACGTTTAATTAATTTTCTTCCATTGGTTTAGTGACCTGCCATTCGCACCATGCTATAACGTGCAAAGCATACATATAGATATACAAAGTCATAATCTTTTACGACATCGACGCTAGTTAAACGATCATTTAACATCAATAAAGTGTCAAGGAAGTTATACGGTCAATAATAATATTTACATGTTTTCTTGGAATTAAACGAAATAAACCAATTGCAAATTTCAATATGTCATCTGTATAGCGTGTTTTGTACACGGAAATTGGACTAAATTTTTATCTTATCAAGAGACCTATCGGAATACTAACGCTACTAGCAGCTGTACTGTGTACTGTGACAGTATAATGCTGAAAGTTGTACCATACATTTCACTTCATAAAAAAAAAACTATCTACTTCAATTGTGAACAAAATCACATACACACGCCCATGAAAATAGACGCAACCGTACGCACACACGCAAAGCGATCAACGACAAGATGTTTCGTAGAAACATTATATTAAAAATTCCAAATTTCAAATTCAAATTTAGAACGCGGAGTCATGTATCTGTAAATAGATAGATTTTGCTTCGCAATTCTAAACAATTGTTATTTCTCTCACGTCTTTAGATCACTTAAAAATTATATTGTTAATATGAATATTCCCCAATTTTAAAGAAAACATTTCAAATTCAAAAATAACTGACACCAAATGGTTCCCAAACTTTTTGATAAAGGAAAAAGAATCGTATAGTGTTGTGATAAAGTACAATTTGTT